TGCGGTGGCCGGGAGCAGCCACTGCATTCTAGTCTGGGCGACCGAGTGAGACTCCGACTCAAAAAAAAAACAACAGAAAAAACCTACAGTGCTGAGGTTATCACCAGCCTTATCCCAGAAATCAAAGACAAAGATGAGACAATTCCAAGGGCCACAAGAAAGTGAAAAAACTCTGAGCAGACATTCACATGTGTGACACCATTCCCCCCATTCTGCACCAAGCTCCCAGAAAATGTCTCCCCAAATCAGTTTCTACACTGGGAAAAGTGAGATTGAGTGGACAGTCAACTTTGCCACCCTCTTGAGTTCCCTCTCCATGCCTTAGCCCCCAGGAAGCACGGTGACTGCCTGAAGGAAGAAATAACCCCAAAACGGGCAGAGACAACGTGGAGAGACAGGACTACCATCTCCAGGCCTGGAAACTCTTCTCTGTAACTTGGTCAAGTTAGACACCAGATCAGAGTGGCTGTCCAGCGGCACCATGACATAGGAGGTCCAGTCCACAGGTCTCCTGGTTGTGAACCCCTAGCCAGCGCCCCACGCTGCTGAGACATCCCCTCTGGGACTTCCCCCATTCCAGAAGGGTTGTGCTCCAATTGGTTACTAGAGCCCAGACAAAAAAGGGGTTAAGTCGCCTCTTAGAGCCAAAAAAGGAGACAGTGACCCAGCGATATGATGTTTGGAGCAGTAACGGCCATCTTAGCATCACAAGAAGCTCAAGAAGATAACGGAGAAGCTGATGCCAAGTCTTGACATTATTGAGCCAAAGAACTAACCCTGAAGGGTCAAGACATCATCATGGGAGAGATAAATAAGCCCTATTAGGTAGGCATGTCTTCTGTAATGCACAAACAAAACCATCCTAGCCAATTTACTTCCTTATGTCACAAACTTACCCTAAAATCCCCTTGGAGTGGTGGCAAGAAAATCCCATTGAAGGCACACCGGGAGTAGGGGCACTCGCTGGTGTTGAAGAGCTCCAGGATGCTGGCTCGGCATTGTTGATAGTCCCCAGACCCCTGGATTTCAAACTGCTGGAGTGGAAGCGTCGTCTTAAATCTCTTGGTGCAGGGAGTCTTGTAAAGTACACTCACATTCATCACCTTCTTGTATCCGGGGTGAAAGCAAGGGTCCTTGAAGGTTCCGTTACGGGCGACCTGAATGGCAACATCATTTGAGGTCATCATGTGTGAATGCTTTGACACAACAGCCACGGTCTGACTTCAACAATGCATAGGCATTGTGCGACATCCCGGTGCTCAGCATTGCCATCGATATGCCCCCGCCCTGCCTTTTTCATCCTTGGGGATAAGTAGGAAAAATAGATCGCCCAACAGCCACAAGAAGTGGTATTGGATATACGTGTTTTTGGCTATTCGTCGAATGCTGCCATAGTGAAAGGTGAGCCCAGAAATGCCACTGGTTTGGAATGTCATTGAATGCACAGTTGTAATCACACAGGTCAGGAACAGATTCCCAAGGAAACCTCTCAAGGCTCTCAAAATGTAGAGCCTAGGGCTAGTTTCTCCAGGAGTATTCCTGCCATCCTAGACCAACCTCCCCTCCAAGCAGAGAATCAGAAGCTCCAAGATGCTTTAGGTCATTCAAGCCAGTAGTATAAAATGCGTTCTAACCCGTAACCTACAAGGGAAGACAGTGGGATGCAGTGGAGAAGCTTAGAGGAGCCAGGAGGCTCAGAGGGCATCTTTCAGCAGCCCCTCCTCCCACGGTGACCGTCTTATCGATGGGCTTTGAGAACCAGAATGTCCTGGCAGAGCACAGAGAACTGGTTGTCCCTTGGGGACCAGGCACAGCTGGATGTGACATTCCTGCTTTGTGTTTGCTTGTCAGGGTATGCCTGGTACTTACATGATGTTCAGGATGTTTAACTTGTCTTGCCTTCAAAATGCAGAAAGCATTTAGGGACAAGGTTTGAAGTGTTGACTGATAAATGTTGTGGTTTTCCCAAAGTGGTTTTATTTTCTCTCCTCCTTTCCAGGTCATTTCTAACAACTCTGTTTTTTGTAGGTGGTAGGAAAGGGAGATTAAAAAGTGGTCTGGAAGAGTTTATAAATGGCAATCTCCTCCCCGCCACCAAACAATATTCTATCACGTAATTTTCACGATCAGTCCCACGGGGGTGAGAAATTATTTCCTAAGAAATGATCTGAGTTGTGTCCTCAGAGATAATCCAGTAAACAAACACGGGAGGTGTTGTCTGGATGGAACAGTTCATAGGGTTCGACCAGATGTAGTTCAGTGTCTTGCCTAAAAAGGTTTGGAAAGTCCAATAACCAACTTCAGACCAATTACTGAATTAGAAAGAGAAAACAGGATGTGGGGGCCGGAGGCCCAGATGTGAGGGGGCAGGTCTGGATTCAGTTACACTTGCCTGGATGTCCTTGGCCAACTTCTGCAAGAGTGCCTGGTCCTTCCCATAGCACAAGAAGCTGTGTGTGTACACGCTGTAGTCCTTGCCATAGAGGCGAAATTGCAGAGCGTTGTCTGGGGACTCGATGGTCTGGTTTTGGGGCACAAAAGTGATTTGCGTAGAGGCTCCCCCAAGGTCCAAAGCTCCAAAGGTTTCCTGATTGTCGCTTTTACGCTGGATTAGGCTGAGCCAACTCAATTTCTGAAAGACAATACAGTCACCAGTGCTACAAGTATCTGAACACCCCATTTTCCACATTATTTCTTGAACTTAGGGGTTTCCTAAGGCAAAGAAGCAGGGGCATAAGGCTGAGGCAAAGTTCATCAAGGCAAAGCAAGTCATCAGCAAAAAAAAAAAGAAGGGCTTCAAAGACAGATCAGACTGCAGCAACACAGAACAGAGTGACTAGTGTTTATAAACAAGGGGGTGGGGCCAGACAGACCTGAGTTCAAATCCCTACTCAGTCACTCAGCTGTGTTGCCATGGGCAGAATGACTACCCTCTCTAGGCATCGATTTGGGCTCCAAAATGGGGATGATAATAGTCCCTCATACTGTTGTTCTGAGGATGAAATCAGACAGCACATGGAAAGTGCTCAGCACAACACCACACACACAGTACTAGACCAATATTACCTACACTTCATTTTAATGATAGATTTTGAATTTCCTGTATGCCTCCCTAAGGTGAAGACATGGCTTCCTTACTCTCCAACAGTAGAATATGGGAGGAAATTCCTTCATTCATCCATTTATCATTCATTCTGGTAAGTGACCCAAGCACTGCCCGAGACAGCAACAGCACTGACCCAGGGAACGACCTCCATGGGTGTGGCGACTACTCACCTGAGTGAATTTGCCCAGCAGATAGTTGATGGTAATCCAACCGTAGGCACCTTCCTCTTGGCCAGTGATGATCCTGGCGCCCTGGAAGTCAAAGGGGTAGTTGCTAAGGCTCTTCGTCACCCCACTCAGGACACTGTCCGCCTGCTCCTTATTTTGCAACCTACACAAAGGGAGAGCTGAGGTTACCATTTTTGTTTGAATAACCATACCTACCCATTTCAGCGACAGCCTGCGTGCAATGCTCCTAAGAAATGAACCATAACACTCTGGAATAAACAGAGAGGCGGGGGTCCCCACACTCAGCTGTCAGAGGAACTCATCTTCAGATGAGGCAGAATTAATCTTGTAATCCCTTCTCTCCAAATCCAAATCCTTCCAGTCCAAGCTGACTTAGGTTTTCCTAAAATACCACTTTCATGCTGTGGTTCCCTGGCTCAAAAAATTATCAAAGCCTCTTAAAATGGCTGTGATGGTGACAGCTGGGCTTGTCTGAGCACCACACACCTGGAGCTTATGACCGCTGTACTAGCCATCGCTGGTGGCTCCCAGCTGGTTATGCAGCCAGACGCTGCTCAAGGTCCATTAGGGCTCTCGTAGAAACCAGGTGGCAAATGACCTGGATAGAGACCCACTTTCCCTGCTGCCAGACTGGGAAAAGTCTCTCTCATACTATCCCTCAGTCCTTGGGTCAGTTTGAGTCCTGAGACCTTGAGGAGTCTGGCAGGCTGTCATGATGAAGTTGGGATGCAATTGCTTCCGAAATCTGGGCCATGCAATACTGGAAGCCTCTGGGTAAGAGGAAACTTCCTTCATCTGGCATCTGGCCCCTGTCATCTGTGACCTCCCATCTGTGTGGCTTCCACCTGCTACTGCCTGCCTTTTATCCCTAGCTCTCCTCTCCGAGCCATCTTCTCCACCAGTGTCACCAGCTGTGTACCACCCTTTAATGGCTTCCCACTGTCTCCAAGATAAACTCCTAACATCCTAGCATGGCCTACAGGGACTCTGTGATCTGGACTCTGCCTTCTCAGAACCCTGGCTCTACCGCTTACCAGGCGTGCACCTTTGGTGGGTGACTTCACACAGGCAGGTCCAGCTTCCTAGTCTGGTTAAGAATAGTTAATATCGCTGGGCTCGGTGGCTCAGCCTGTAATCCCGCGCCTTTGGGAGGCTGAGGTGAGTGGATTGCCTGAGCCGCGGGTTCGAGATCCGCCTGGGCGGCGAGACCTCATCTCTACAATAAATCAAAAAAAAAAATCAGCTGGGCGTGGTAGCGCATGCCTGTAATTCCGGCTACTCGGAAGGCTGAGGCAGAAGGATCACCGGAGCCCAGCAGGTCGAGGCTGCGGTGGCCGGGAGCTGCCACTGCACTCCAGTCTGGGCGACAGAGTGAGACTCCAACTCAAAAAAAAAAAAAAAAAAGAATAGTTAATATGGAAGGACACAAAAATGATGCTTGGGGTGGAGCAGAGAGGGTTCATTTAGAGGAATAGGAAGCTATGTTTTACATTTCAATGTTCTTGAATTACTCTTTAAATACACTGTTTTGTTTGGGGTTTTTCATTTGTTTTTGTTAACTATGTATACTTAAAGTCCTTTAATATACCATTCTGAAAGAACCAGCATTTTGAAACATTTGAAATAATGCTTTTGTCATAATAAGTGTAATTAAAATGCTATTAGGAGCCATGGTTAAAAAAAAAAGAATAGTTAATAGTATCTCTTACTTCATAGAGTTGTATGGTGATTAAATTAGACGATGCATGTTAAATGCTGAGCATAGTGCTAAGAACATAGTAAAGGCTCGATAAATAGGAGCTGCTATTGTCATTAAACGTTTACAGAATGCAGCGATCTCTGTGGAACTACTTACAATCCTCTGAATGTCTTCTGGTCTCTCACACTTCCCTGCCTTTGCACATCCATTCAAACACAAGTTCCATGAGGTCGAGGACCTTATCCTGTTCACTCCTATATCCCCAGCACTTAGAACAGTGCCTGGCATGTAACAGGTGCTGAATAAACACTGGTTACTGCTCTGCGGGAAAAGCCCTTCCCCCATCCCCATTCCCCCACTTGCCCTTCATGGTCAGCTCATGCCTCCCCTCCTCTGGAAGGTCTCCCTCACTTCCTCTCATCCTGGGCAGGGCCAGAGGTGCTCCCAGAGCAGCTCTGAGCACTCCTCTATTCAAAAATGGATCAACCTATATCGAAACTGACTTCCCTGAGGGCCGAGTCACCTACTTCTGTATTCTGGACAGCACTCAATATATGCTGAATGATTGAATGAATAATGCACACAGGTACCAAGTGGAAGCCAATAAAGATGGGCTAGTTGTGATTATTTATGTCCTGGGATGTCTGTGAATCTCGATTAGTCTTCCTCCTCCCAGATATTTTATTTTATTTTTCTTTTGAGTTGGAGTCTCACTCTGTCACCCATGCTGGAGTGCAGTGGCACACTCACGGCCACCCCAGCGTTGACCTGTCAGGCTCCAGCGATCCTTCTGCCTCAGCCTTCCAAGTAGCCGGAACTACAGGCACGCACTAATACGCCCAGCTAATTTTTGACTTATTGTAGAGACGAGATCTCACCAAGTTGCCCAGGCTGGTCTTGAACCTGCGGGCTCAGGCTATCTACTCACCTCGGCCTCCCAAAGTGCTGGGATTACAGGCTGAGCCTCCTCCCAGATATTAAATGGTTACAACTGTAGCCCCAAATCTCAGAGTCTGTGGACTCAATGTTTCTCCCCCTAAGCCCCATCTCCCTTGAATTCCCCATGGGGAAGTGGGAGAGAGGGCTTTTTCTACACACTTAAAATCCTACCTCTATACATACTAAGAGTTTGGAAGGTTTCCTCATGTACTGAAATTTCCTTTCTTAGGTGTGGACTTCAGGGTGTGTAGAATGTGGGGTGTTGGGGCAGTGTGGCCCTCTCCAATAACATCAGAGGCTCTTTCACTGACCAGCCTAAATCCCAGACACTCTTGGTCCCTACGTGCTGCTATACCTGAGCAATCGCATGCCTGCCGTGGCTCCCAGGTACACAGGTGTCTCATGGTGCTGGGAACTTGGAATCGCCTCCCTGGCTCTCTCCATGCATTCAGTCAGGTAATTGTGTATTTCGGTTTTTTTATTGACATATTCTGAGATTCCAGGACCTAGGAAAAGATGTAGAAGGTAACAACCCAACAGATACATGAAAAAATGCTCAGCTTCACTAATTATCAAAGAAATGCAAATTAAAACCATACAGAGATACCATCTAACTCCAGTCAGGATGGCCATCGTCAATAACTCAGAAAACAGCAAATGTTGGGGAGGATATGGGGAAAAGGGAACGTTTCTACACTGTTGGTGGGAGTAAATGAGTACAACCTCTGTGGAAAACAGTTTGGCGATTTCTAAAAGGTCTAAAAATCAACCTCCCACACAAACCCTCAATCACCCTTCTGAGAATATACCCGGAGGAACTCAAATCACTCTATGAAAAAGATAACTTGTACATGCGTGTTTATTGCAGCATTGTTCACAATAGCAAAAACATGGAACCAACCATGCTGCCCATTGAAAGAAGACTGGATTTTTAAAAATGTGGCACATATACACGATGGGATATTATGGAGCCATAAAGAAGGACAAAATTATGAATTTTGCAGCAACTTGGATGGACTTAGAGTCTATAATACCGAGCGATCTATCACAGAAACAAAGAACTGAGTACCACACGTTCTCACTCATAAGTGGACCCTGAACAATTAGCATAATACTGTAGAAAGGGATTGGTAGTAGTGGGAAACTGCCGGGGGGGGGCACATCTCATCAACAAGGGTACCTGCATAATGAACATCTGTATACCTGACCCTGAATTGTACCTCACATTTTTAAAAGAAAAAAAAACAAAGTATAACATACTTTGATGATATTAGAGCAAAATATGGTGTTATTTGACAAAAGTACAAGAAAATAATTCATGTCCTGATATGATATATACTAGGTGGTTGTATTTGGAGGGTAACTCACTAGCCTTTACTTTTCAAACCTCGTCAGGTCTTGGCCAACATATAATAATTTTGCCACTGGATGGCGCAATTTCGTATTCAATTTCATAACATTCAGACTTTAATGGGGGAATCTTATAGATAGCTACTCTACTGGCGGCTTTTTGATGTTTCTTCCACCAAGTTGTAATTAACAACACTAGTTCCTGAAAGACCTAAATCAGGATGGCATTTAGAACAAAGATTAAAATAGGCATCAGACACATTGTCTTTTACTGAAAATGTACAAGCTGTACCAACTAGCTCCAGAGTCAGGGCCAGAACCCTACCATCTCTGAGGTGGAATTTCTCCCTTTGGGAAGAAATGGAAATAGGCTCTCCCTTTCCTCTGTGACTTTTCCACTTCCATACCCTGACTTCCTAGTAAAACTGTTTTCCCAGTTTTAGAGCAAAACTAACTGTTGCTATGGAGAGGATCAGAGCCAAGATTCCTGAAGCTTTTTGAAGTTAACACTCAACACTTTCATCTCGCATTAAAGATAAATATCTACACTATCAGTGCTGCATAACAGAGAATTTGCTTTAGAGATAATTATTCAAATAAGTTATCCAGATCATTCACAGGTTTTCAAACAGCCTGCTGACTTAACCATGAGAAAATCAGCTCTAAGTTATCGGCTAACTGTTTCAATTCAGAAAATCTGGTATTAAATATTTGATTAACTAGAGAACTCTCTCCTTTGAGAAAGGAAAACACTGCATTTGTTAGGCCAAGCACTCACGGGATGAGTTGAAGAAAGACATCTGCTAGGTTTAAAAAAAGTCTTTTCAAAATGGAAGGCAGTGAATTAAATAAAAAGCAATAAAATGAGGGATTTCGGTTTTGAGAATTGCTGGAAGTACTGTCTCAGTATTGATGGGGCCTAAGTCTCAGGACACCAGGCTGCTGGGTAGAGTGACTTGCTCTCTTGAAAACATCTCTCTACTCCTTTCTCGACAAACTATGAAAATTTAGTAGACTCCACAGGCCATCAAACTAAAAATCAATTATTCTCTGGGGTCTAGGTTATCTGTCTGACTAAAAATAAGCAGTAGATTTCTGACTCAGAACGCTGAGAAAAATAAAGGTCAAGGAGATTATGGTGCATGGTGGGGCACGGGGTAGAGGAAGTGGGGAGAGCTGAGGTCAACAGCTCCAACTAGTATCATGATCTCAAAAAAAAACTACCTAGAAAAAAGTCAATAGGTAATGCAGTGGTTCAGAGTAGCAGGAAACCTGGAATGCAGTTAGGAGACCTGGATTCTTGTCCTGGCTCTGTGGCTACTTGCGAGGCACTAATCCTCTAGGTTTTTGTTTGCTTTTCTGTAAAACAAGAGTTAAATGACCCACAGGTTTCTTTTCTCTGCCCTGAGGATCCATTATTCAGTCTCTTCTGCCAATACAGAGACTGAAAGCTTTCACAAATATTTTCCAATGGCCAGGTGCAGTGGCTCACACCTGTAATCCCAGCACTTTGGGAGGCCCAAGTAGGAGGATTGCTTGAGACCAGGAGTTCCAGACCAGCCTAGGCGACAAAGCAAGACACCGTCTCTACAAGAAATAAAAAAAATTAGCCAGGCGTGGTGTCGCATGCCTGTAGTTCCAGCTATTTGGAGGCCGAGGCAGAAGGATTACCTGAGCCCAGGAGGTCGAGGCTGCTGTGAGCCGTGATTGTGCCACTGCACTCTAGCCTTGGTGACAGAGTGATACCCCAGTTTTTTAGAAAATTCTTATAAGGTATAGAGTACGAGAGCAGTAACTCTCTGGATTGGCAGGATCAGCATCAACTTTCCAGTGAATTCTTGTTAGAAATGCAAGTTCTCAGGGCTCCTTTCAGACCTGCTGACTAGAAGCTCTGGGGGAATGGGGCCTACCACCCGTGCTTTAACACGTCCCACAGGTGGTTCTGATGCTGTTCACATTTGAAAACCACTGGCAAAAATGTGGCTTTGAAGTGGGGTAGAACGTGGTTTGAACCCCAGCTCCACCACTTACGAGCTCAAGCTACTTTACACAAGTGTATAACCTCCCTCCACCTCAGTGCCCTGTGTTTCCTTAAAATGGGGAAAATACTAAATACTTCAAAGGAAGACGGTGAGGAAGAATGGAAACAACACATGTTCAGTACTCAGGGTATGGTATGCAGAAGTGTTCCATTGGCAGAAGCTACTATTCCTCAATTATTTTTAAATGTGCTTACTCTTCAAGGGCTTAGTCACTAAGGACTGATTCCAGTATTATTTTCATAATGGCAATGAAATTCCAGCAACAGCAGCTCCACTGTGTCCTTCCCTCAGCTTCATGTACGCGGGGCCTTTCTCTCTTGTGTTCTAGGTCATACACCTCTCACGTTCTCTGCCCCACTGTTTCCCCTCCCTTTGTCGCCATCATACCTTTCACTTTGCATTCTTCCATCTGACGCACCACCCCGGTGTCATTCTCCTTCTCTGCTGGCCACTTATAGATGTACAAACTTGTGTGAGAAGAGCCTGCATCCAGGACAATCCCATACTGAAAGAAGAACAAACCAACACCTAGCATCACACCGCTCCTCTCTGGATTCCACGGATCACCCCGTTGCATTGCTGTAAAGGAATACAGGCAGAGCTGTGTGGTGCCAGCCTCTGCTCAGCTCCTGGTGAGGCCTCAGGAAGGTGGAGTGGGGACAGGCGTGTCACATGGCGAGAGCAGAAACAAGAGGGAAATGGAGGTGTCAGACTATTTTAAACAACCAGCTCTCATGGGAGCTAACAGCGAGAACTCACCCACTACTGAGAAAATGGCACCAAGCCATTAATGATGGATCTTCCGGCATGACCCAAACCCCTCCCACTAGGCCCCACCTCCAACACTGGGAATCGCATTTCAACATAAGATTTGGAGGGGACAGACATCCCAACTATATCATTCAGTTCGCAACAGAAAAAGGACAGGGTCAGGAGTTTTCAAAAACATAAGAGGACAGTATTTATTTTTTATCGGAGTCTCACCCCATCGCCCAGGCTGGAGTGCAGTGGTGCACTCACCACCATCCCAGAGTCAACCTGCTGGGCTCCAGTGATCCTTCCGCCTCAGCCTTCCAAGTAGCTGGAACTACAGGAGCGCTATCGTGCCTCGTTAATTTTTTATTTACTGTAGAGATGAGGTCTCGCCAAGTTGCCCAAGCTGTTCTGGAACCCGTGGGCTCAGGCAATCCCTCACTTTGGCCTCCCAAAGTACTCAGATTACAGGCTTGAGCCACTGTGCCCGGCCGAGACAGTATTTTTTTTTTTCTTTTTTTTTCTTTGAGTTGGAGTCTCACTCTGTCACCCAGACTGGAGTGCAGTGGCCACTCCCGGCGACCGCAGCCTCGACCTGCTGGGCTCCAGCAATCCTTCCGCCTCAGCCTTTCACGTAGCTGGAACTACAGGCGTGCGCTACCACACCCGGCTAATTTTTTTATTTATTGTAGAGATGAAGTCTCGCCTGCCCAGGCGCGTCCCGAACCCGTGGCCTCAGGCAATCCACTCACCTCAACCTCCCAAAGGCGCGGGATTACAGGCTGAGCCACCGAACCCGGCTTGAGACAGTATTTTAATGTGAGAAGAACACTAGGTGGGAGTGGATGGTTGGAGTCATCCTGATCACAAGCCCTAAGAGGACACAAATCTCTCTAGAGCAGGGCTCTTCGTTCTAGCTCTCCTTACTTAGGATGGGCCCCAAGCAAAAATATTGTTTAGGAGCTTCCTAAGTGACTCTAATGTGCTCCAAGATTCAGAACCACATGCTAAAGTAGATGAGACACTGTGGAAGGAATAGTAAGTCCTTCATCTATAGTTCCCAAACTAGTCTACACATTGGAATCATATTGGAATCACTTGGAAAGCTTCAAAGGCTACTGATCTCCTAGTCATGTTTTCAGCTCTTAAATGTGGTGGGCAGGGTGAGGGGGGAGGTGAAAAGAAGAAAGAAGGTAGAGGGACAAGGGGAAAAGACAGCATGAGGGAGAGAGCTAAGATGGTCAGAGAAGAAGAGAGAAGGACAGAGAAAGGCACCATGGCATATTTGATGAGTACATTAAATGTACCAGGCAGGTGCTATACAAAGTGTCCCATATGAATTATCTGACCTCATTCTCAGAACAGAACTATTTTTATCCCTGTTATATAGGTGAGAAACTGAAGTACAAAGAGATTATGTCATTTATGCAAGATACACAGCTTATAGGTGACAGAACCTGGATTTTATTCAGAGTCAGACTCAGGACTTTATACCCAGAAACACAGAAGCAAGGGCTGGGTGATAGTTGCATATCGGTGCCATCTTTTATGGACTTTAAATGAGGGATCACTACAGAAAAGTGTGCAAATCTGAGATGTACAGCTCAAAGTACTTTTGCATGTGTTGCACATCCACGTAACCACCACTAAGTTCAAGATACCAAACATTTTCTAGCCCCCATAAGGTACCCTTCTCAGTCAGTTGCCCATAAGGGCAACCACTATCTTGACTTCTATCACCAGGGGTGAGTTTCGCCTCTTTTAGTTTTAGAACTGTGATAAATGAACTCACGTAGTGTGCACCCTTCATTGTCTAACTTCTTTCACTCTACACTGTGTCTGTAAGATGCAATCACACAACGTGAATCAGTAGTTCATCCTTTTCCATTTTTGCAGGGTATTTCACCATCCGCATATACTATACTGTCATCCATTTGACTGTTGATGGACATGGGGGTTGTTTCCAGTTTGGGGAAACTGGGAATATGGCTGCCAGGAACATCTGTGCACAGTTCATTTGGTGGAAATAAGCTGTTGTTTCTTTGAGGTGTTTACCCAGGAGTAGACTGCCAGATGTCCCTTTTGATCGACTGATACTCATCTTTGGTTGGCATCCTTGGGTTTCATTGGAGAAAAAATATGCCATGATTGAGTAATAACATCTGCTGTGGGCTTGCGGGGAGAACACAATGGTACATGGACTTTGTATCATTCCTCTACGAGAAACATGGGGAGAAGTAACTGGGGAAGCAAAAGGAAGAGAAACGGAGGAGATGGGAACTAACTGCCCTTGTTACACTTGACAGTTCACGGGAGCATGGACCTCAGAGTGTGGTCTTCCGCTTGAAAGTACTTAGCAGTATCTAAGGTGTATATGAATGGGCTGGGTTGTATGAACCGAAGCAGTGTGCTGGAACGAAGAACAGTAGAAATGACCTTGCTTGGTCCATGAAGCCACCAATACACGGGCCCTGGCCAAGACCCGGACACATAGGCAGCAATGGGCGGGTAGCTATCTATGAAAGTATACCTTTATCTTGTTTATCACCTAATAAGAACCTAAGAGCCTCCAGAGAGAAAAGAAGACAAGAATGAGGACTTAAGAGACCTCGCTGGGCCGGGCCCAGTGGCTCAAGCCCGTAATTCCACCACTTTGGGAGGCAGAGGTGAGAGGATTGTTTGAGGCCAGAGTTCAAGACCAGCCTGGGCAACTTGGTGAGACCCCGTCTCTACAATAAATCAAAAAATTAGCTGGGCGTGGTGGCACACACCTGTAGTTCCAGCTACTTAGAAGGCTGAGGTGGAAGGATCATCTGAGCCCAGCAGGTCGAGGTTGCACTGGCCATGAGCATACCACTAGCACTCTGACAGAGTGAGACTCCAACTCAAAAAACAAAAAAAGAGAGAGAGACCTCCCTGGACCACGAGGAAAAGCTCAAAGTAGAGTCTACCAAGTGTCAAACGTTATTCCATTTCATTATAAACAGGGAGTATCCCTGCCAACCTCTTGAGGATACTTGACCCTCCATAATCTCTGCGGTGTTCTCTGCCTTATTACGTGCAGCAGAGATTTCTCTGGCAACTAGCAGTATGCCCTTAGAAAGAAAAAGGCTTGTATACTTGCTTTGGGCACAGCAAGGAAGCAAGCTGGACAGCCTCTTCTGCAGCTAGGCTTGCAGTGAAAAGAATACAAGAAATGGCTTAGGTGGTGACCACGGTGGGCAGAAGGTATACTGACTGAGGTCTGGGGCCTTTGGACTCAGGAAATCTCCCTGGATGGAGAAAGAGGCTCAAGAGTTATCCAGGAGACAATTATGTTGCTCCCTGGCAGGGCCCCTCAATTCTGACTGCCAGAAAAATGTTCCAACTACAGCAGCATATGATAAAAGCTGGCGAGGCAGTAGCAGCAGCAAGTGGCTTTTATCTGAACTCAGGACGTTCTATTCTGTCTAACTTTGTTGACATGAAAGTCGCTCTGCCAATAGAGCCAGAGAACCAGCCCTCCTTCTGGCAGCTTGTTTCTCTAAGGCCTTACACAGTGAGGTCATTGAGCACCGACAAGTTTTTGCTACATTTGCCAGTGTTTGAGAAGGGGTAAAGAATATTTTAATGCAGAAATTGAAGACATTTCACCTTGTGTATACAGTATTCTAGAATGCTAATCTGTCCAACTGTGCCAAACACAGTTTGTCTTCTAAAATGGTTTGCAGAATTAAAAAGTGGCATTGCTTGCTGCTTGAGAGAGAGGTAACGCTTGACTGTCTGAAAGTGCAGTTTGAGCATGTTAGGAGTCCACCTTTCTCTTTTACAAGGCCATCAGAGCCCAGGTCACCCACCACCTTTTATTCTCTTTCCACCACATCAGCAATTTCCGGTGTACGTTCCAGAGAGCACAAAGCCTGTAAGGATCCTGCCTGTAAAGGTCAGCAAATAAAGCTTCTCAAACGTTTAGGAAGTAATTGTGATTTCTCACTCTCCTAGGCTCAAAAGTCCGTTAACTAGTGAATGCCTCAAGTGTGGTGGTGGAGAAATCTGATGTTTCTCTGTAGCTCATATTTAAAACATTTCCAAAAGCCCTTAACAGCATGTTCTTTACTTAGAGAAAAAAAAAAATCAAAGATTTGAGTGGTGAGGAAGAGATCTGACACTTCCTTAATATTATTTATTCCATATGATTTTCTGTTTTAGGAGTACAAAACGTTTATTAAATATCACCTAGAAAATGAAGGAAAGAAAAAAGACATCTAAGAGTCCACCAACTAGATATCACTGTTATTTTTATTTATTCCCTTCCAAGTCTCCTTTAAATGCAGTCTTTTTATATAGTTGTACCTTCACTGTGCATACAGCTTTGTCCTAAGGAGACATGTATATTTTTTCTTTTGATCATGTAAATATGAGTTTAGTGATCATAACTGAGTTTCTTGAGCTAGGCTGCATGAACAGACGTGGTGGTCCGAAAAGAAGAAGAGAAGAAATATCCTTCCTTGGTTCATGGAAACACCAGTGAAGGGACCCTGGTGCAGACCTGGAAAAGGAGACAGCAACAGACCCTGAACTCACTGAGACTAGAGGCCACGTGGAGATGGGGCAGACCCCTCCTTCCTCAGGACAGAAATAACTCTACTTGCACAAATGTCAATTTAAGGTTCTGGATAAATCTCCTCAGACACAGAAAGAAAGAGAAAATTGGAGTGTCACATGGCCTGCCTCCTGGCTCCGCAAAAGTAGGACATTGAACCTTCTCCTCAT